GTCTTTAGCTGTGAAACACTCCACGTTCTGTGGAGCTCAGCAGGTATCGTTCTCTGGGTTAATCAGAGTCTGTCGGCTGTCGGCTCCTCGGGAAATAAGTTCGATGAGAGCGCTGAGACATAAAACAACCCGGTCCCGTGCGAATAATATTTATATATCTCACCCAATTATGTTTTAATGACAAACATAATCACTGCCTGGTTTGGAAGCAATATTGTTTTTGAGTGAGTGAAACTCTGCATTAATGAAACACATTGGAATCAGTGGGTTGTCTTGTTAAGTTCAGGAAACAAAAGTATTTGAAGTTTGGATCATGGAGTCGTTTAAACATAATAAACAGCTCATGCAGTGTTTGCTTTTTGTTTTTCACGTAACCGTGTCAAAAAGGAAATAGACATAACATCATCAGCAGCAGCAGCAGCAGCACAGTGGTTCACTAATGCTCATCGTAGCACTGAGATGGAGCTGACTCTTATTTTCACACCTTGCTAATGTTACAATCATCAAGTTAAGTGGAAAAACATTGGGGGAGTTATACGTCCTCACACAATTTACTATTTCACATTTTCCATCATTCGAGTGGAAATCCGACGGAGCACATACCTGTCCTCCACGGCTCCACGCTTTATATGCAGAGTCATAATTTAAATATCTCCTCCCAGTAACACACGAGCAAAACGGCTCCTTCGTGTTTCTTCGTTCAAACCCTTTAATTCTGTTTTCCTGTTGTCTGGCGTAAAACGGCGTCCCACGGTCAGGTGGTCACTGAAGCGTTTGATGTCAGGATTAACTTCAAACCCTGAAAACCATTCTTCTTACAGGAAATCCAAACTTCAGCCAGTGAACCGATGACGACAGCGGTACGTGGTTCAATTAGCCGTGCTGCCACAGGGACTCTGTCTTTCTTTGCCTGAGGCCAATTAGCTTGTGTGTTGTTTTCCTTCTTGGGTCTTTTAACATTGTGATCGTGGTGCTGCGCCTCTAAAGTGGAATTTAAAACCCTTTCAGTGATGACAACTGTTTATGTCATTCATTTATCCTAATTTAATTCTGAGTGGGTCATTGTCTCTACTAATGTAAGTTACACGTCTTTAGAAAAGAAGGTGAAGTTGGTACCAGAATGTTTGACTCTTTTTGTGGATGGTCTTTGGTTTGTCTTGGCTGGCCCCTCTCACCAGTTCCTGAAGTCTGTCTTCGGAGCCACTTTGAAGTCACTCTGGCTTCCATTTGATGAAAACGTCCTCCAAGGAAACACCTCTAACCTCACTCACTGCCTCGCTGGAAGCAAAAAGCTTTTATCATTGTTGTACAGATGTGGAGACAAGTTGAATACAATGAGCATCAATGATGTTTCGGAGTTCAGTTTTGTAACGTGAGTATCTTCTTGGCCAGCGGGACTTTGTGGGGGCTGCTGCCAAGGTGAGGTTCTCTGCTGCTGAGGGTCGTTGAAATTCACAGACTGTCAGAGGCTCTGCTCGTTCTGTTTCCCTAGTAACAGCAGAGAGATGGATCGTAATCGAGGAATGAAGGACACCAGTGGCTGCGATCGGTCCGCCACAAAAAAAACCTGCAACATAACGTCGTGAAACATCACCTGCTGTGAGTCTGAATTGGTTAGAAACAGGTTTTCGCAAGTTGCAGGAAATGAGAGCACAAAAAAAAAAAACCAGAGCGTGGTTAATTTAAAAAGGAAAAATACTGTGGTGCTGACACTTCATTAAACAATCAGTGTTACATGATTCATTCTCACAGGTAACAGGCCAGATTCTAAATGAGGGGAAACATTAGTTTAACATCTCAACAAAAGAAAAAGAAAAGTTTATGTAATAAAACAAATCAAATTCATATATAAGAGAAATTGTGTCCATGTGACAGAGATGAGTCTTGATATTTTACGGTTTAACCATAAACTCCTTTATAAAAAACTATAGATAAAAAAAAAAGACAAATAAAACCAGATATAGAAACATGGAACTAGGATTCAGCAAATAAACAAAATATAATATTATAATCATGAATCTACATTTTCTTCATTCATCATTTTAATCCCGTGAAATAAAGGTGTCACTGACGTATTTATCGGCGAACCGTTAAATGTATTGATCTGTCACGACTAATTTTGAACATAAAAGTGGAGCTGACATCTCAAATTTGTCACAGCGTGTTTAATCTTTCCACTTCCCCCCCCCCCCATTCATATGCATATTGCAGCACGTCACTGTCTCTTTAATTGTTTATCTGCGTTCCCAAACAAACCCGTTTAGCCGCGGCCGTGCTTACGTAAGAGCGGCAGAAAACAGAACAGCAAATAAACGGTTTCCACTTGGGAGGGGAGGTGTGGGGGCTCCCATTCACAATATGACAACCATGTTTTAAATTATGTCAAATCCCAGCGCTCCCGTCCCTCTGCTGGAATGTCTCCTTTAGCACAGAGGAATTTTATTGCCCTGCCCACCCTCTGCTGTGGTGTCACTGCGGGACAAAAACCAGCGCTGACCCCACGGGGGCATCTGCTCGGCTCGCCACCTAGATGCACATTGTGTCTCTGGAATAACTTGGCTGTTAGACGTCACGAGTCATTGTCTCGGACGTTTTTGTGTCCCGGGACAAAGAGTGAAAGAGAGAAAAGAAAACAATCCAGATGCCTTCTCTGAAATGGCTCAGCTTGCCCCCTTTTGTAATGCAAGTGGGGGTCCGCTTTGTTCCGATGCGGTGATAGTTGTCGTTTTAGAGAAACCAACTTTGAAAGCACATACCTATGTCTTGTAATTAGGTTAGCCGTGTCCCTCTGTCTGGACCCGAGGACGGCTCTGTCCTCTCGCAGGGATTATTTTCACTTGGCCAAATTATACAAGTTAAAATGAGGCGTAGGAGCCGTGTACTCATCATCTCTGACTGAGCACCAGTTGCCCAAGCTCCAGGCATCCACAGGCTATAATTGAGGACTTTCTAAACAATGGGTCTCTCGCCACAAATATCAGCTCAGTTTTTCTTGTGCGCTTTTTGTAAACATCATTTGCTCTTATGAGAAAAAAACCTGCGAGACAAGATGCCCAGGAGAACGTTGAGAAGCCGTTTGTCCTCATTTAAAACATTATTGCAAGCAGGTATGGAAGACGTATTAAGACCCTTGAAGGAAAAGAACCAATAACAGGAATAAAAACACTAATACAAGTTACATTTATTCTACCTTCAATATTATTCGTAAGAAAAAGTAATATCAGTGAACTGTAACGTAATTGTTCCACAGAAAAATGGCCCTCATGAAAGTTGGATATATTTTTAACTGCTGAGTGGATAAGAACCACATTGCAGCTGTTTTCTGTTTTAACATCAGGACGTCAGAACAACGGTTATCACTCCACCACTTTCAGCTGCTACCAAGAGGACGAGCAAGATCCACAAATATTTATAAAGGAATTACAGTTTAAAACATCCCGAAGTAAATAACAAAATAAATGTTATCATATATGTATTAGCTAATTATGTTGTTGGCTCTGGTGCATTAGAGTGTCTGCAACATTTTACTGTAATGGCTTCAGAGGGACCAGTACTTGGATCACTGACGTACGTCACTGACGTCCAAAAGAAGGGTTGGGTCCTCCAAAGGGTCGTCAGGTGGTTAAATAATAACTTCCTATAACTACCTTTATGTAAAGTTACTTAGTTGGAAGTAGGAATGGAGTTTTCTGAGGAGCAGAAATATATAATATAATCTGCAAAAACAACCCTGCGTCGCTTCATGTAAACATTGCAGGAGTATCTGTTGTTTTGTTTTGTCAGAATTGTTGAAGCAAATATTTTCGCTTGAGTGATAATTGGTGAGAGGGAGTTGTTGCCACACCTGTGTAAGCAGAAAACATCTGTTCTCTCCAGAGATCCGTCCTCTCCGAAAACTTCTTCCCAAAGAAACATGAAGAAGAAGAAGAAGAAACAATAAAGTCCTTCCCTGTTACCACCGGAGTAAAATGTTTTATTACACTATTTGCACAGAAATCCAATTTTGGCGCACGTGCCTGTTTTTAATTTCCTGCATGTGATTCACGGCCAATTGTAGCAGCAGCTTGTTCGCCTGGATCTGTGGCTGCGAGGGCGACCAGATGTTTGAGTGTCTCTGCGGCAGTTCAGGGATGAACAGGATGTTGATGAACTAACGGACCAGGAAACCATGACTCTTTACAAAAACACTTCTCTCCCAGTTTCCCCTCGTGTTCTCAGTATCACTCAATTCTACATCCACACTTATGTGTTCTCGATCGAAGACACAAACCATCTCCGTCCGAAGGAGCGTTTTAAAACAGGTGGTCATCTCCGTCATGTACGCTGGTCATGTGTCAGTGAGCAGGATGTCTTTCTCTTGGCTGCCTGGTTAGTGAATATATCTGCAGGTGAGACGAGGGATTTCTTTTCTCGAGCTGACGACGAGGTGGAACGTCGCATTGAGATTTTAAAACATTAAGCTCTGTCTGAGTTTTCAGTTAAACAGATTAGAGGGTGCTTCAGAACATGTTAAAGATGACACCTTGAGGCTCACTCAGGAGGCTGCGTGCGTAACTGTCCCCGCCCACACTCTACCACACGTCCTCTACGCCGGCGTGAGGAGGCTGTGATGATGAACCTCTTTAGGAAAAGACAGAGCAGCAGCATTGTAAACAGCAACATACCAACTTGTAAAGTTTATTTTCACAAGTTTTGCCATAGTGGAAATGTCCTCTAATTGGCTACAGTGGCTCCCACGGTTTCCTGTGGTGTGTTTCTCCGTTCATTCTTCTTCTTCGCGTCCGGGGAGGAGCAGACGTGCACTCATGCATTAGAAATGAAGACATGAAGTCCAGACAGAAGTCTTCTGTCTGACATTGAGCATAAATGAGACCTCAGTCTACACCTTCTCTCATTCTCCCCCCTCCTTCTTGTCCCCCCCTCTTTCCTCACCTTTCTCCGCCTGCGTGTCTGTTCCTCTCCCCCCCTCCCCCCCGGCGGTGACGCCATGAGGCGTGCAGATGTGCCGATGACCCGGGTTTCCTTATCTGCAGGCAGCTCACCTACGGTGGAGCCGGTGATGCAGACACAAACAAACAACAGCGGTGGCGGTGGCGGTGGCGGCGGGCCTGTCATCTGCTCTCGCTCTTATCGGGTCATTTAATGAATCCTTCAGCCGAACAAGAAGCTGGTTTCACGTCATCACAGAGAGAGAGAGCGGGGGGGAGGAGGGACAGAATGTCTCGACACAGACGTGTAACGACCCTTTGGCTGTGCCCAATAAAAGCTGTGATACACGATCATGTGTCGTCCTTGTGTGATTCTGACTCACATCACTCTGACAGTATGAACCACAGAGGGAGGGAACAACCCTGGAAACGCACGTTTCTTTTTCTTTTTCTTGTTTATCTTTCTTTACGGTGAACAGGTGAATGTGTTCAATTCAACTCAAATTCAATTCAAAAGACTTTATTGTCATTGCACAGTCGTACTTCGTACACTAGCACAACGAGATTGTGGCACAGTCCTCCTCCTCGATGCCAAACATACAATTAACAAGACACAAACCACTACACATTCCAGGGCTAAAGGCATTTAACCAAGTGGACGTACTATACAAAAAAGAATAATTGTACCGATACATGCAGATAATATGCATATTTGGAGTACAGTGCAAACTGTACAGAATAAATACTATATACCGATAACGTACCGATATTTCTGGATAATCTGGATAATGTCCCGAAAGTGTTTATTGCACAGAAAGGTCAAGGACTGAAAGTCCCATAGTTCATACGTCACAGAATATTAACACGTCTAAACATCTGGGTTCAGAACCACAGGAACCCAACAGAGCCGATGCAGATTCTGATATTAGGAAGTAAATAATCGGTGCTACTGATAACATGAGGATGTAACAAAAACAAATGGCAGTGACAAGGAAATATAATTCAGGCTTTATATAATCTACAGTTGAAGCAGAAGCTTTTTTATAAATAACTATTTAAAAAAAGGAAACACAAATGCTATTAAATATTTAGAACTTTGAAAAAGTATTCATCTGTTGTGTATTGTTTAGTGTGTTTAAGGAAAGTCACTGATATCAACAGGTCTGAAGTATTTGTCGGCCAGTCTCTGATACATATTCCAGCTTTTGATTAAAAAGTGTCATCATGCATCTACATCGGTATCAGCCTTGTTTGGAAATCATCGTATTTTAACGTGAAGCAAATCGAGAGCGAGTCTTTCTGCTGCCCGAGTCCTCGCTGTTAAAGTAACGCGGCATTTGAACAGCTTCCTTCTAAAGCTGCGTTAATGACGTGTGCTCCTCCATAATGCAGAGGCCCAGTGATGACACAGCTGTGTGAACTATGAAAGTAGTTTGAGGACTTCACAAGGTCAAAACTTTGGAATTGAAGGTTTTTTGCTTTCAAGTGTCAAGTGAAGTCAAATCTAAATGAGTGAGGCAGCAGAGAGGGGAGTTTAGAGAGAGACGTGGACGAGGCGAATGGACCAATCACAGCTCTTATAGTCAGATTTCTATGAGGTTGCCTGTCAGGCTGAGATTAACCCCCTGATTTAACGCCTCAGTCGATTCAGGGCAGAAATCTGAATTAATCTCGAGGACGCTCGGCCACAAAAGGAGAAGCTGACTCCGAGACCAGAAGGATTTTTACTCAATATTTTTTCTAATCTTTCAAATGGACAAACTGCTCGTTACAAAGAAGAACCTAAACGTAACACCTTAAATAAACATGATTGAAAACTACAAGATAAAATAAAAACTACACTAAACTGGTAAACCTTTAAAAACACTTAAATTAAAAACCTACGCGAAATAATCAAAGTTTAGGGAAAAAGAGAAAAACATTTATAACCTGTGCACCATTGCATTTTTCTCTGTGAAGTATAGATATATAAATATATGTATATATACTATAAATACTATAAAGATCAAGACATATATAAATATATGTATATATATGTGTATATATATATATATGTCTTGATCTTTATAGTTTGTGATCTGTATTCTGTAGTGTTGGGAAGGAGAAGGTGTATAAGAAGAATCCCATCGTGTGCTTGTCTTATCTATTTAAATGACTTCAAAATGTAAAATGAAGCATGTGAATAACAAGGTGCTCTGATCATCCTCTAAACATTCTGTCTTCAGAACTGATGTCAGACTGCTTTGATCCCTTTCATCTTCTTAATTTATGCCTGTGCCTCTGAACGAGGCCTCTGAGCTCCGAAGGTGCTCGAACACACCAGAGTCAGAGAATTACAACTAACTGTGTCTCTCAGTGCAGAGAAATCAAAGAGCGGAGGTCAGCAGCCGCTGCAGCTCTCTGGGATAAAGCTGCCGAGTCATCGACGGCGAGTGGAGAAGATTAACTTCCGCTCAGAACTGAGCATCAACACGAGCAGTCAACAGAAGAGGTCAAAGGTCAAACCATCCTGAAGACATCACAGAAACAAGCCTGTGGCACGGCAGCTCTATTTTGTTGAAGGTAAAGTAAAAAGACGTAAAAAGTACTGCAGTGGAAACTCACTTTATACCTTCTATAGTATATCTAAATATTGTACCTTGTCATCTTATCAGATTTTTACTGTTTGATGTGATACAGGAATTTAGCGGAAGCAAATTATTTTATTTTATTTTTATAAGTTACGTCCATTCAATTTTATTTGCGTTTCGCTAAATCGTAACAAACATTATCTCAAGACCTTGAAAATCATAGAGAAACCCACAGGAAGTGTCACCGCTCTCGTGACATGGACTCGTCTCCCTGTCCGGGCTTCTCTCTCTCTCGAATGCGTAGGTTGGTAAACTTGTGTGTTTTTGAACCAGACTGCGCTCACACACTCTCAGTGAGCCCAGATGGCAGCTAGTTAACATGACCAGCATCTCAGCCAGGGTGTTATTGGTCTAACAGCCCCACGCTGGGCGGAGGACAGGTGTTTGCTCTGAGAGACGTCGAGAAGGGTCGGAGCGTCAGCGTGTTTCATGATGGCATGACTTGACGATCAGAGCTGGAGCGTCTCGTTGTCTGGAGGAGCAGCTGTTTCCCCAGCGAGGGAGTAACATGAAAGAACAGAGGGAGTGTGACTTCATTTTGTGTTCTTTTATCTTTTCATGAAAAGTTTCTGGAGGCTTCTATATTAATGTTAAAAGAGTTGTGTGTGTAGGTGTGTGTGTGTGTGTGCATGTGTGTGCATGTGTGTGTAAAACCCTTTAAGTTAAGGATCTGACTACTTCCTAGAAGCCGGAATAAAACCCGACCTCTCTCCTCCTCCCTGCTGCCATTTAAATTACAGTTTGCCTGTTGGAGGTGTTTAATGTTCGGTTCATGTGAAGCCATCAATATTTATGAACATCTTTGCTATTCACCAAGTGTGGACATGGACATTTCCCTGCTTGCTACGAGACGTTCATAATGCAGTCCTCCAAACCTACAGCTTTGTCTGCCTGCTCTCACTGTGTTTCTCTCACTGACCCTGCCCCAGTGGTGTCGTCCTGAATATGAGGACGCCTGTTCTCCGAGAGCACCTGACATGTGAGAGGACGGAGGCAGAGACAGAATGAGGAGAGAGACGAGGACAGGACAGTTCACATTATTGCAAATGACTGCGACGCCCCCTAACCTGATTTTACATGCAGCGCTCGCCCTCTGGAGATTTTTCCTCGGCTTCTCCCACTAAAGCTTCTTGTCGACCTCGCGAGTAAATGTTCTTTTCTTTTGTGCTCCACATGTTTTAATAATGCGAGCGAGTAATGAGAGTATTTTCCAATTTATTCAGTTTTCAGTTGTAATTATGCTGATGAGGGGTTATAGTGCACACTGAGACACGATTAGCTCCTGAAACCTGGTTCCACATCTGGAACACGTTCACTCAGCTAATAATAATGATCATAATGATAATCATAATAATAAGGACACATTTTAAATGTTCTTTAGTGAATCACGACCGTGGTTTATAGACACATGTACAGATCCAGTGTGTGAGGGTTTGTTTGGGTGTAATCTGTTATTGTTGTATATACGATTACATTTGAATTATTTCAAGTATTTAAAATATATATATAGTTGTAACTGTGAGCTTAGATCGGTTGTGGTTTGTTGTAGATGTGTTGTGTTTGCTGCTCGTAACGTGGAGCAGCCTGTGTCATCCTGTCCTCAGCTGAAGGACAGAGCGATGTCAGGACATTGGATTATTGTGTTACTGTTAATGGTAAATGAATATGTTTACCATTCATGTTAAACAGCCTCGTTGATCCTGGCCTCAGATGAGGTGAATGTCCGTCTCTTGTTTAAAGAGCAGAGCGACGTCAGGACATGAATATATTATTAGGTTCATGTTGAGCAGCTGTGCTCATCTCGTCCTCCTCCTTCATCTCTCCATGTCTTTACTTTAAGGACAGAGTGATGTCAGGATATCTGAATATTGTGTTTATATGTGTACTCCATGAATGTATTCTCATTTATAAATACACACATTATTGTTGTACTGTCTTCTTTGTCCCTGAACATGTTCAGGTTGAGGACAGAGGGAGGACATCAGACTGTCGATGGAACAAAGTGTGGCAGTGGAGCCTCAGCTCATCGTGTCCTGAACTCAGATCAGGTTAGTGTCCGTCCCTTCGTGTCTTCAGAGCAGAGTGGTGATTCATTTTGATATAACAGTGGGTGGTTATGTATAAACTGAGCAGACTGGGATGAGGTGAGGGAGCTGGGTTCCTCCTCCTCTTCCTCCTCCGTCCCTCTATGTCTCCTCCAGGACACAGGATTACTGCTGATGTCAACAGGCTCTTGATGTAACTAGAAGTGGTTATATATAGTAAACTGAGCCGACCATCTCACCCTGAGGGGATGAAGTTTGGGATTTGGGACCCTCCTCCTCCTCCTCCTCCTCCTCCTCTGTCCCACCATGTGTCCAGGCAGGAGGAAGGAGAGGGCAGGCTGACGTCACACAGGGTTGGCCTTGTCGTTTATTAGACAGAGGAGTCAAAGTGCCAGAGCTTCACACTGTAGCTCTGTCCAGAGGCAGAGGGGATGTCCTACTGACTCAACCCCACCAGAAACTTTCTGACAGACAGAACCAGACAAAACACTGAGTGACACCAGTGTGCCTCCCTCCTGCCTCCCTCAATCTCTCCACTCCTCTGGTTTTGTACTTTTGAGAAACTTCTACCAGAGGCGCAGCCTTCAGCTCCGGCTCCGGTCCTGAATGAGCCGGGTAGCTCGTGCGCGCTTTGACTTTGTTCTTTCTCCTTTTTCTGCTTTGATCTGTGACGTTGGGACAAGTTTGTCTGTCTCATTAAGACTCGTGATGGCTGCGCTGTCACTCGCGCTGCTGCTTGTAGGACTCGTGTTGACTTCAGCCGACAAGGTGAGTGTCTCTGCTCCTCGCACGCACTTTGACTTCGCGTCTTCCTCCGGAACGCGAGCGAATCCGCGGATCCGTGACCGAGGCTTCACATTTTGCGTTAAAAAAAGCGCACTCACACACACACACGCACACGCACACACGCATGTTGCCTCTGCGCACTGCGGGAGTTTAGCGTGTTACATAAGACATGTGAAGTTCAGGCGTCTCACAGAAGTTTGTTAGAACACTGTGGTTTCCTGCTGTTCCCTGGTTAACCCGCTCTCTCTCTCTCCCCTCACAGGCTGGTGAAGCTGATCGAGAGGGTGAGTTGATCATTTTTCCTCTGGTGCTTCTTCACAATCACATCCTGAGCTGCAGACACGTTGCTCCCGGAGAGACAGGAGGACACTGGCATCGAAGTGGGAGGGCAGAGAGTGGAGTGTGTGAGAGGAGCCCACCACTCCCCCTACACACACACACACACACACACAAATATTACACCAGCAAACTGCTTCAAGGGCTTTGTTATACAGGAAAGAAAATTCCACCTCTAAATCCCACACATCTGTTCTCCATTGTGCGTCTGAGAAATAAGTGAGCTGCAGCAGTGTCCACGTAGGATCCTTTTACATCCGCCGTTATCTTCAGGGCAGCTCGGGGGCCTTCAGGCAGGGAGGTGACACTTGGCAGTGGAGCACTTCCACCACTCACTGTGGTTTTCTGTGTTAAAGACAGTTTTCCTTACGTAAGAACCCTCAGAAGAACCGATTTGTTCTTCAGAACGATAGCGTTAATATCATCTGGTCTCAACTTGAAGCATTTCCCCCAAAATCAAGCGATGGTTCCCCAGAGAATCTCCTACCGACCAATTTCTTCGAGGCTGTTTAGACTCGACCCCCCCAGAGTTCAGTTGGGCCGCAGTGACCTCGGATCCCGTTCCCACCACAAACAAACCACACCAGAATTGATTTGTGCTTCTATTGATTTGTGCCCCCCCCCCCTCACCGCGGGCCGGTGTTTGGTGTGTTCCCCACAAATGAATCGTACAAAGGGAGAAAATGAATCAGAGGAATCTGGTTGAACCTGACTAAACAGTGCATTGTTTGAAAAATGCCACAAGAGAATTTGTGTCTTTCACAAATTAACTCCTGCTTGTGAAGAACTTTCTTTTGGGGACAAACAAAATCCCCAAGTGGTCCCAACCTCAGACCTGCACAGAGAGTCTGCCCCCCCCCCCCCCCCTCCATAATGAAATAAACCTTTGTGTAAATGAATTTCGAGAAGATGGCAGCTGACACAGTTGAGAAAACTCCCTCTGCTGCCGGTTGTTACCCACTGGATCGTCTTGTGTTGTAACAGCTGACGCGTGTCGCACCACACTGAGGCGTTTTTCACCAGTTTCACGTTGGATGATTCCCTCTCGATGTCCGTCACAGAACAGCGCTCTGTGCTCCGGCGACACATTCAGGTCCCCAAGACAACAACTGACTCTGCTGCGTTTGTCGTGATAAAGTCTGCTGCTCGACAACAGCACGTCGTCAAGCTCTGAAGTTCTTCTGTTCAGAGTTTGGAGAGTCATAGTTAAAACACCTCACAGAAAAATATGTGATGTATTCAGATTTTGAATCCACTTTTCTGGTTGTGGACTAAATCGCGATCCATCAATCGGTCCAGGTCATTTCGTGATCAGATGTGTAGACGTGTTATTTGTTCCCTCAGGTTAGAAAAGAGGTTAGACTTGTTCTCTCGCTTAAAAAACCTTCAACCTTGGAGGTCAGGCCACTTCTGGTCTTTGTGTTTCCAGCTTTTCAAGTTCAGGTGAGGCATCACTGAGTCACAGTTTATTGTCGGAGGACAGTTGAGTGTTTCACAGCTGTGCAGACGTCCGTCCGCTTCAGCTGAAGTGGTTGAGGATTTTTCGATTAAGGTCTGACAACAGAGAACTGCCTGTTTGCACTGATGCTCAACAACTGATGCAGATGGAGAGAAGCATGGTAGGCGGAGGCTGAGAGACCGATTTCTCCTCCGAGCGCTGTAATGGTAGTAACGTGAGGGATCATGGACCAGAAACCAGTTTCATCCGAAGCCTTTAATCAATTTAATGAAGCACTTGACATTAGTCAGACTTTAAAGTCCAAAGAAACAACTGTTTATATTCTAAATGATGCAATGAAATAATACAGGAGACAGAGGATAGTGAAGAATAATCCAGATGCTTCTGTAAAAACAAAAAAGCCGTGTCCGTTCAGGTGAAAGTGGGCTGGGTCTATACGGTTACCACAAACGTTTCAGGAGCCATTAGTGGAAGCGCTTCAGAAATGACCTCATGGTGGCGTAAGCACACATTTTCAAATAAATGATCTTGCAGGAGTAGTGCCTGTGACGTAGACGGAGATGTTGACGCTGCTTCACACCTGGATGGATTTTTACCGATGAGTTCCGTCCTCAAGCTGCAACCGGGGATTCAATGAAAGATGAACAGATGTGTGGCTCACAAGCTTCTCACGATTTAATCTTTTATATGAGATTTAAAATTTAAAAGTTACCAGCTTACAGTTGAATCAAGGTAAAACTCTCCTCGACTTGTGTTCGTCAAGCGTTGAAAAGTGGTGAAGAGACTCGTTTAGATTAGTTTCAGATGACATTTTGTTAATTCTCCGAACACCGAGCCTCAAACATGTGATTTCTTGTTGGTGGCGTCTGTAACCAGGCGAACCACAGAGACAGTGACTGACCACAGTCTGTAGACTCTTCTCCCTCAACAAAACACATCATGTTGAGCAGACTGAGGACATGACAGTAAATCTGTTCTGAGGGAACAGTTGCTTTCTTCTTTCTCAGTGACAGTGAATATCTGCCACTGGGCCTTGGAGTCAATAACTTTGTGGAATCATTTAATGGTTGGACTGTGAGTTCAGTGTGGACTCGCTGTTCATTCCCTCAGAGGATTTCATCTTTCTTCTTAACTTCCCAGTTAAAGGCACAGAGACCGTGAGAAGTCGCCAAAAAAAAAAAAAATAAAAGGATTTCAACCCATGGTTCAGGTTTGGAAATGTTAGATTTTCCACAAACCAACGCCTTTAAAGCTGCAAGACACGACGTGATGTCTTTTATTTTGCCTGTTGAATGCTTTTAATGTGAAGCAGCAGCGGCAGGAAGTTCTGTTTTCCTTAGCAATGACTTAAAACAACCATGAACCAGTGTGAAGAGTTAATCTATAATATAAATCTATAAAACTGTTAATCTATATTTAATGAGATAAGCACAGAATAGAGATTTAAATTCATTCAAGGGCGGCTTCCTGTTTGACATGAACGTCTATCACTTTATCAGAAGAGGGATGTTTTTCTAAAGTCAAACTTTTTAACCTTTTGGCTGCAGACAGAAGTTTGTCTGGAATTCCACTTCCTGACAGAGGTCATTTCATTTCCCGATCACTCTTCATATTGTTGCTCAAATCTTTTCTTGACAGCGAGAATTGGGATGAAGATGCGTCAGACTTTTCCCTGGTTGCGTCTAATAGAACCTAAAGCTGAAATATGTAAAAGTCTATCAAAAGTTACGTCAGCCCGACGCACAATCCTTTCAGGTGTGGATATCAAACTGCCTCTGTGTCTCTCATGTCTGCGGAGGGAGCTCATTTGTGATGATGTAACTGAGCGGGATAGGCTCTGTGTAATATCCTCAGTGTTAAAGTGTGATCGAGCTGCTCCCATCCCTCAGAGTTCAGACTGTAAATCTGTTAATGCTGTCGTCAACTCGTCTGTGACATCTGCATGTTCCTACTCACCGCTGACACGTCTGAACATCTCCTCGTGAAGATAATTACAAGGTTCTGATGTTCACGGTACATTATCTTTCCCGACGTTTGAGAGATGTTTTGAACGTTTCTGTCACAGCTCGAAAAGCAAACAACGCTTTTAATACCCACAGATTCTTTATCATGATGAATATCCAGTATATTGAGCAAAGCATTTACCTCTGGAACGTTTTTCTGCCCCTCGCTCTGTCACTGGAACTCAAGCTTGCCGTGATTGATGACAGTAATATTAGTGATCGTGGGAGAAAGCTGGAGGAGGGATGTGGTGTTGGATCCAGAGCCGAAGCAGCTTTTAATGAATAATTCATGTGACGGGAAGTCAAACAATATTTTATACATATCATTAATCTTTTTACTGCTGATGCTTCTCAAGTGTGAGGATTTTCTGTCTCTGTTTGTTTTATGGAATTGTAAATTAAATGTCATTTGATTTTGAAACGTTTGTTTGGAGACAACGAGAAATTTAAAAAAAAATGTTTCTTCTGAATCTGTTTCCTTACAAAAGAATAAATATGAGTTGACGACAAAATCTGATCCTGTCAGAAAATAACGGCACAAGCAAAACTACAGATATGACGTTTGTCACAGATGGAAGTTTCCACTAAAAGATAAATGTGCAGTTAAATGTGTGTTTGCTGCAGCACTGAAAGTCTCATTGTGTTTTACAGACCAGTTGCGGAGCCGACTGAAGGAATACGGCCTGGTTACTCCCTTCAGCACCGACTCTCACGGACACTTCCTGTCGCACCTGCTTTCGGCCTCTCACAAGCAGCGTGTCAAGAGAGAGGTATTTTCCTCCGGTGAACCCGAACAGAAACTTTTCTTCAACATCACCGCCTTCGGGAAAGAGTTCCACCTCCGCCTGCGCCCCAACAACAGGCTGGTGGCCCCGGGCGCGATGGTGGAGTGGCACGACAACGTTCAAGGAGCCGGGAATATCAGCGACAGTGCGGGTGACGATGCCGATCCAGGCGCCAACCATACTGATCCCGGCAGCACGACGGAGAGGATACTGCAACGTGAGCTGCTTAAGACCGACTGCACCTTCATTGGCGACATCTCAGACGTTCCTGGAGCCTCGGTTGCCATTAACAACTGCGACGGACTGGTAAGTCCTCCTCAGCCATAAAGCTCCTTCCTCTCCCTCCCCTTCTGAGTCTTTTCATTGCAAAAGTGCCATGACCTTATCAAGTGCCACTAAAGAATTTTAGATGTCTGTAACTCCAAAGTTAAGAATTTCTTTACGTCACCACTTTGTTCTCGGACATATTCTTCTGGCGAGCAGACGGAATAGGTTTTTTTTGTACAGAAGTTTGTTACGGGTGAGTGGCCATCCATTGCTCCCACAAACGGTTCCCCCCAACTCCCCCAACCTCTTCCCAACATAAAACTTGAGTCTCCCTTTGTGCTCCACAACAGTCTGCAGTCCTATCCTCCCCATCACCCCTCATAAAACACTTGAACGGCCATCGCTAAATGACCTGGGCCAACATCTCTCAGATTAGTCCGGCGAAACATCGCTGCATTCAAGCGAGATTTCAGTCGGCCAAAACCAAAAGCTGTTCAAACAAAGTTTTCTGTTTTGAAAAAGCAAAACAAAGGATTTACCGTAACTCCTGATTCCTGATAGGGACATCGGAATCAACACGCTAGAAAGATCAGGCTGCTGTTGTTTTGTCCTTTTATCGTAAAAACAGATCTTCTGAGGGAACCCAACCAACAACGAATCCACCCTGTTAACAAGTACAGTGTGTGTAGCTGTGCTGAGATATTGCTTTAGTGTTCTTTATTCCTTAAGAGGAAACAGGTGTGGTGAGCCTGCTCTGAAATCTGTTCAACTGCAGAGTTTGTTTCCCCCTGAAGGGCGAGAGCTGGGAACGATGGAGGAAGAGGCTCATCTCATCTTCATCATTTCGATGATCAAACTGTGTTTCAGGTGGAAAGTCGTCATTTAGAGCTTTGACCATAGGTTGTGTCCTCTCAGCTTGTTTTTATTCATCAGTGCAACAGAATAGCTGTTTCCGATTCGTGGTATTTTCACGCCTCCGCACCGGAGACGGCCGGTGGCTGAGGACGTTCTGTTGTCAGGTCGTCAAGTGGTTCAATTCACTTGGACTCGTTAACTAATTGATTGAGATCATTGCTTCAACTTTTGATCAGTTGTCACTCGGACAGAACAGATTTTCAGATGGAGTGACCTTCAGGTCAAAGGTCGCGGCGACTTAATACGAATCTGGAAAACAAAGTCTGTAGTGTACGTTGAAACTGCACTGGTGGGAGGAGGCACGCAGATCCAGTGTGGTCTGTTACTAAGCAACCAACTGCACAGTCAGACAATCTGCTTCCCTTTTATACCCTGGCGTGCACACGAGCGGTCATGTGATGCGTGTTTCAGGCGTGTCAGTGTGAGCAGGGATGGTTATGTCGGCATGGATGGAACCCTCAGCCTCACAGAGCTGCAAACACCAGCAGTGTGCGTCAGATAAATACATGTTAGCTTCCTCAGGGCACACTTTTGATCGTGATTCAAAACAGAAAGTGAAACCGGACTTGTCTTTTCGATTACACGTCTTCAGTGGTGTCGGTCTGACTTTACACACAACCTGTTAGAACCTGAGTGTTAGATTGTTCTGGTGCTGGTTACACATGAACGAGCCTGCTGTGCCCTTCAGGGTCTCTGAGAGAGCGACTCATGGTTAAGATGATGGTGAAAGAAAGTGCCTCAAGGACACAATTTAAATCCCTGTGAAACACGACTGCTGAGCCGAGCTGGCTTCATTTTCCTGGCTGCGTGTGTTTATCCTCGATTCTCAGCGGACAGCCGAAAGGTTCTCTGCAGGGGTTCACTTTATTCTCTCCACATTAAAACACTTGTAACAAGGCAGCACATGTTGGGAGAGATTCCTACAGGCGGTTGAGACGGTGCGAGGCTTTGACAGAGTTCAGCCCAAACTGAAAGTGTCTGATAATTTATACAAGAAGCGAGAAAACACCTGAATGCACCTTCAGATCACAACTCTAACGACTAGCTGTCTTTTAAAACTGTGTTTTTAAAGTTCATTACTTCAGGAAGCAGGATTCTAAAAAACATGAACGCTCCAATCTAAATATAAACGAGATATAAACCAATCAACTGATTTTAATCCCACATGAAATATATGAGAAGCATTTTGTGAGGTAGAAGGAATGAGGCGGAAATAAGATGAATAACGTTTCTTGTTCTGCCCCAAACTTCAACTTCTATGAAAAGCAGAAGATTGAAAGTAAAAACATTTGGCAAATTATTTGAAAAGTTGCATTTGAATTAATTAAACAAAACAATAAAGAAATAAACACCCACATTTTTGGCAGAACATCTCAGATACAGATACAGATGTAAAGTTTATTGTACTGAACCCTGGAGATCCTCCAGATATTCTCCGGAGGGGCTGTGCATCAATCGATAAATCAAATTTTATTGTATAGCTAAATTCACAAATCAGTTTGTCGTCTAACATAAATTTAGAAGTGTATTCATGTCGAGTGAGAGCCTCCAGCCTTTGTGCGGATTCTCTGAAGTTCAATAGTGAGAACACAGCAGGAGATCCTCCACAGGATTCACCGTGAGCGAGTGGGTGGGTGGACGATGTTTCCAACACGTGTCTGAAGCAAAAAGAACAATATGGCCACACATGCAGAAGACAGCGATGAAGAAGAGAGCGTCTGGTGATGAGAGCTGACGCCAAACTACGGAGGAAGACCAAACCCAGTTCTGGCTCATGTTAAACTGAAGAACATGTATCCAACATGTGGTCCTCGGCCCTGGGATTGATAATCATCTCACTCATTAACTAATTTAATGAGACAGAACACCGAACAATCAGCATATTGAGTTTATCTTTGGAAACCTGAAGGACTCTGTGTCATTTATACTTTGTTTGTCTATCAATTATACAGATATAAACTTTATATAATATATAAATCTAACATTTAGCTCTAAAAATTAATTTCAGTTCATATATTGTAGGAACAAATGGCAAAAATCTGAATCCTAAATATAATCTCTAATCTAAAAATATCCCAATGAGTGAGCGAGGCACACAAACAAAGACGAGGCCTGTCAGAACTCTGAAGTTTGTCCTCTGCCGTGCAGGATTTGTCCGTTTCCTTTTGATTGGAGCAGGAGGGAAGCCGTTTGTCACTTGGGCAGATTCCGTCTTTCTTCTCGGAGACATTTATAGTTGAAGCTCACAGGAGAGTGGAGCCTGGGGGGGGGGGGGCACACAGGATGTGAGAGTTTTGCTTTGTAAATACTATTATGGCAGGATGTCACTTTGAAGATGCCAGGAGCGTCACTGGTCAGTCGCTTTCCCAGAGGACGGATAATTTGAGCCGGCTGCTGCTGCTGCATCGTTCTGAGCTCCACTATCAGTGGTTATTTCATTTAGAAGAGATTAACAGACTTGGATAAATTAGTAAACGCTCGGGATAACGTGTGAATTTAAAAGCTTACTCTGTAGCCAGGATCTGATTGATCATTTACTCCCTAGTATTTCTCTTTACTCTCTTCTACCATCATCATTTTCTAAGCTGTCCACGTCACCGGAGGACTTCATTTGCTGTAAAACTTCAGTGATCAGTGTCCTGCTGCATATTTTGGACGTAATGAGACAAAATTGAAGAACTGAAAGGACATTATCGAGTGTCAGCTTTTAGTTTGACATGAAACTCATTGAAAACAGAAAACCAGGAATGTTGTATGTTTTTCTTGGTGAAATAAAAAAAGAAAAACATGAACACACACATTGTTCAGAGCTAATTTCTGCTTTCACTCCAGAAACCCCCAAAAAAACAAATCATTGAAAACCTGAATGTCATCAGCACTTACACCACAGAACTACATTCTGTTACTGGTACCCTGCAGCCGAACCGTTTGGTCTTTCGGCCGCTGTAGTGCAGAACATTATCATCTCTTGTCTTGTTGGCAGCAACAGTGAAGCATGCACGCCTGCATAACTCGACATCAAACGCTCACCAAGCAGAGGTTGCTGATGAAAAAGCCTGTCGTTGAGGTCCAGGGGGCTTTGATCTCCGGTGCTCGCCCTCGCTAGGTGTGTGTTTTACTGTTTCTTAATTATAGCCAGGCTGCTGTCTGGAAGCCTTTACTGCAGCAGGCAGGCGAGCAGGCATGCGGCCTGCCTGCTGAACGCTCGTGAGGCAGATACTTCCTCTGCTTCAGCAGCAGCAGCAGCCGCAGCAGCAGCGTGGGGGTGAAGCCAGGCCGAGTGGCCTGTGTGGGAGACGGCCTTCATGTTGAATGAATGTCAGAGGAACAACCGCTGAGAAGGAACTCTTGATAAGCTCTGAAGATACAAACCAGTGCTGAGCTCTGGTTTCTGTCGGTTTCATGCACGGAGCAGAAATGAATCCGTCAGGGTCGGACGGCCACGAGGAAGAGAGGAAGAGGAGGAGTCTGTTTATCTCTCACGCTCACACCAGTGACTTGATTCATTCCACAAAACATAGATGAAATTCTTCTTGTTTGACTTAGTGAGCAGTTGTTCATGAGGTTTCTGAAACACTTTTTGTTATTTGTTGAACTCTTCAAGTCCCGATAAGCATCAAAACTAAAGCTGGTGTCTCGACGGTGATAAACACGATCGATCCTCAGACTGAATGAAATGATTGGCTGCTGCACCTGTAACCTGCACCTCAGAGACACTGAGGGGAAATGTTGTCTTCAGTTGTCAGCCCCATATTTTGCATCTTTGATTGATAGATTTAAAAAATAATAGTGTCAGGACGCAGCCGCCTGCTTTGGAACATTATGACGGACAGTTCTCATTTAATTTCTGACGTTTCACTGACAAAACAATCAACAAGTTTTAAAGATATTCAACAGAGTAATTGATCCGGAAAGAAAAATCCCCAGTTACAGGCAGAATTTTATTACATTTTCAGATTCATGCAACCTTTGATAATCGTGGTCGTCCAAGAAAGTTTGAGACGGCGCTGGAGTGTCAGAACAACATGGTCAAAATAATCAGGACTGTAATGAGAAGCGATGTGCTGAAGGCTTTGGTGAAAATACTGATGAATGTGGAATTTGCATAAATAAATGTCTTTATT